AGTTGACCGACATATTTCATCTTTACCGCAGACCTTGGGTTAACAAAAATATTTTGATATGTGCAATTTAAGGGCAATGGAACTCTTACATCAACTTTATAAGAGTTAGAATTATTTACTTAGCACTGATGCAAATATAAGGATTCGCAAAGTTGGAACAAAATCGGATTATACTTTCTCTTTCTGTGCAGAAAGATTTTGTTTTAAATTTCGACTTTTTTGTGTGGGGAGATACCAGAAGGAGTGAACTGATATTGCCCATCTCCGAAATCGATGTAAGTTTGATAATAATATTACGATGTACCAAGTTTGGACCATCGGATACACCCTTCGAGAGTTATCGTGCGCACCAGATAGACAGACGGACGGACATCACCAGATCGACTCCAAATGTCCTGAAACAGCGTTGGTCCAAAGAGGCCTAGGGTCTAAAATCTTTATTTCGACTTGACCGTATCAAACGATAGCCAATTTTCATCTCATCCCATATCTATCATTGGACTGCATATTATTTTAGTTTTAGATATATTCTTTATTGTATATGAAATCTTCCGAATTTCAATGAAAGTTATCAGAATTTTCTTAATTTCGAATGAAAGCTTAGAATTCCAATGGCCGTGTTCTGAAATATGAAAACCAGTAAAGAAAGCCTTAAAGTCGGGCAGGGACGACTTTATGAAACCCTACACAACTTTGTTAAATTAGTAGAGCTCCACATAACAATTAAAAGTTGTTATGAGAGAATTCAATCAAATAAATCGGACGAAGTTATATATGGAAGCTTTATCCAAATCTGAACCGATCTCGATAAAATTTGGCAGAGGTATTTCGGAACTGTATTTCATATATTTCCCCAAATATTGTTGTTACAGGGTGCATATTACGGCTGCGGAGCACAAAAATAACAAATCGGATGAACAATAAATATGGGAGAAATATCTATATCTGAACCGATTTCGATCAAATTTGGCATACTATATCAGGCCCAATTTGGTTGTATGTGCAAAATTCTATACTATTCGGGCTGACATTACTCGTTCGGTGCACAATAAAAGGCAAATCGGACGAAGATATATATGGGAGCTATATCTAAATTTTTACCGATTATCTCCAATTTCAATACGGTTCGTCCTTGGGCCAAACAAATGATTTGTGAAAAATTTCATCTGGATCGGACAATAAATGCGAACTGTACTTTGTTTACAAAAATACATGGACACACGGACGGACAACCAAAAATTGACTCAGAATACGATTCTATGCAGATCATCAAAAGGAACTATGTGTCTATCTCGTTTCTTTTTGCCTGTTACAAACAAATGCACAAAGACATAATACCCTGACCACCTCGTGGTGTAGGGTATAAATATAAACAAAATAGGCATTTAAAATTATGTTAATGTCGAGTATTTACTTTTATGGGGTGCCTAAAAACAATCAGATTAGCTTTCTAAACAAATGGTATAGTTTTTCGTATATTTGCCATATATAAATATGATATAAGCGAAATGGATTTCAAACATTGGAACAAAAAATACTTTTTGCAAATTCATCGGGATTGGACTGTAACTAAATATTCTAATGTAAGAGCTAGAAATCTGAAATTTTAGAAATTCGAGGAATTAAATTTTGAAATCTGGTCTAAAAATACAGAATATAGATGATGTCTATTTTTGCAGAACTGCTAACAAATGCGGTTAAAATTCCAAAATATACAACAAAAATATTGGAAAGTTTCAGTCGGTTTTCCAACAGATATATATTCTCAGCATCCGACCACGTTATAATGTTTTTGAAGGACTTACCCAACGACAGAATCTACACCTCCATACTTTATTATACCCTAAACCATAATATGGGGAGTATGTTAGGTTTGTTATTCATTTCGTAACGAAGTGTAAATTTAGACCCACAAAGTGTATATATATTCTTGATCAACATAAAATTCTGTATCGACGCTGTCCGTCCCCCTGTCTTTCCGTCTGTGGAAATCACTCTAGCTTCAGAACGAAATGAAGTAGGTTAATAACATTTTACTCAGAAGTGTGTTAGGTCTGCAGAACTTTTGGTATTGAAAATGGGCTATATAGGGTTGGTAGAGGTCAAATATAAAGCATTCGGTATTTTGATGATTTTAGCGATATTATTCAAAGGAATTGTATCAAATTTCGTATAAAAGTTCCTACAGTTCCTACATTATTCACCGGATTTGCATCAAATTTCGTATTTGATATTTTTATCCAATGGGTACTACATCGTACGATAGAAAATTGCATATGCAGGTCCTCATCTTCGTGTAATGGTACCTCCCTATTCTGATGATTCTAACGACATTATTCACTGGAGTTGCTTTAAGTTTCGAATTTGAATATTGTAACCGACTATGACAAATATGGCGTACACAGGCCCACGTCTTCGGGCCGAATATAACGGTAACTCCCGATATTCAGTATGTTTATAATTTTTGGAGTATGTTTCAATCGATTGTTTGTTTTTTTTTTTTTTTTTTCAAAATTTGGAAATTTCTTCCAAACTTGCATTTTCACTTGTTTATCTCAATCTTATTAAAAAAATTCCAATACGCGAAATATGAAAAGAGTTGCATGAAACCGTATGAAAAGAAAAAGTGAAGGTAATGTTATTCGGTTGGTAAACCAAAATTCCAAAAGGGATTTAGGTTCTCAGACCAAACTTTTTTTAAGCCCATTACATATAGGCTTAACAATAAACAAAGTCCACAAATTTATTGCTCCATACTTTGTTAAATTTAAGATAGACCTTTAACATTTCATACATGTCTTTAGATTGTATGTGGAATCATCTTTTCAAAAAGGGTCTAATATCTATCCACTTTTTAATATAGTCCCAATATAAGGGAATACCCCGATTTCAAGTACTTTTTACACTTAAGCCGCATTTTTATACTATTTTTCTAAAATTTTGTAATTTGAGTTCTTACTAAGTAGAAGCCAGATCTCAAGTTTTGGTATAACCCTCATATGAAGGTATTCTCTGATTTCAAATATTTCCGGTATTTTTTTTTTTTTTAATTGATCTGGCTTAATGTTAAATTCTGCAAAGTACAGAGTAAATATTTGAGCCCTTTGTGTATGGTCAAGGCTAAATATATAATAGGCCCTAAAAAGTTTGGCCTAGAAACCAAAACCCCCAATTTTTGAATTTTTAATATTCTTAAAAGAAATATGTTACAATTTTTTTATATGACCTCGTCTTTGCCTCGTTTTTGATGGGTAATTGAAATAAAAGTAGTTCAAATACAAGAAATGCGTGCTTTTGTTTAAAAGCCCCATTGTGTAATTCTTCATAAATCATTTTTTCATATTCAGAAAAAGGTGAAGGTCCATTAATGGATCGATTCACCTGACATGCCAATTTTAACAAGTGAAAAAGTTGTAAGTTCGGCCGGGCCGAACTTTGAATACGCTATACCATTTGTAACGAAATTTGAAATTTTCAAAAAATAAAATCCGTTAATTATTTTTTTTAAATCTTCAAGATACCAAATATGACCGCTATCTATACGACGACGTGAACCTGCATAGGCAAGTTTTGTCATAAACCATTACAATATCTAAATGCGAAACCTGAAAAAAATCGGTGAATAATGTCGCTAAAACCATCTAAATACGGAATATAGGGTGGTACCGTTATATTGGGACTATAGAAAACGTAGACCTGCACAGACAATTTCCAGCCATAAGCTGTAGCATCCATTACGAACATCAAATACCAAATTTGAAATAATTCCGGAAAATAGTGTCGCTAAAATCAACAAAGTACCGACTATCGGGAGGTACCGTTATATGGAGGCTATACGAAGACGTGGACCTGCACAGACATTTTTCTGTTTTGGGCTGTAGTATCCATTACGAACTTCAAATACCAAATTTCAAACAATTCCTGTAAGTAATGCCACTAAAATCATCAAAATACCGAATAATGGGAGGTACCGTTAAATGGGGGCTATACCAAAATGTGGACCTACATGGCCCATTTTCAATGTCAAAAGTCTTGCAGACATAATTTATATTTGAGTAAAATTTTATCAATCTACTTCATTTCATTCGAATATATACTTTGTGGGTTCTAAAATGTATATTTCGAAGTGTTACAAGCGGAATGAAAAACTTAATATACCCTCCATACTATGGTGGAGAGTGGAAAGAGAATTGTTTTGTTTACAACAGGGTGTAAGGTTGAATCCCTCACCTAATAACCTAAAAAGCATATAAGGGACATGTGTTATTTTTTAATATTCTCCAATACATAGTGTACGTTCTTCTCCCTTAATAACACTTGTAGCATTATATTTTTCACATGAGTTGTCTATAATCAATTTTCTTCGATTATTATTTCATTATTGTATTCAATTAAAATTGCATTTCAAAAAGGGGGTTTTATTACATTTCAAACAAAAAAAAAAAAAACAAAAACGCTTGTTATAGGCCAATAAAGTGTATAATGACTGCTTGTGTTGAATAAAGGCTCGAACCACAACAGAAGAGTAGTAAAATGTACACACATAAAAAAACATATTCCCATGAAATGTACATACATATTTACAAACATACATTTTTACTGTTTTCTTTTTTTTTTTTTTCTTTGAAATTTCATAAATATGTGTAAAATACTGATGATTGTTATCGTTTGTTTGTTTTCATTTTTTTCTCTTTCTCTCACCGTCGTCTTCTTTTTGCCACATGCCTGCCGTTTTGGTCTTTTGTTATGTTTGTCTGTTTATTATGCCGCACAATTTTCCATGAAAATCCAAACAATTGCGGGGCATGCAACAATTTTTAACATTGAAAAATGGACGAATTCATAAACGAACACATGGCGACGGCGGTGGTGGCGAATATGGCATCTGCAACGAACACCATTGCAAAATAAATAAATAAATGAATGAATGGACTCTCTCTCCGGGTTTTGAATAACAACAACGAAAACGACAAAAACAACAACACCATTAATTTTACTAGGAAACGTGTTTGTAATTGCGGCAATAATACTGGAGCGCAACTTACAGAATGTGGCCAATTATTTAGTTGTTTCATTGGCGGTGGCCGATTTATTTGTTGCATGTCTGGTAATGCCACTGGGAGCTGTTTATGAGGTAAGTAATCCCCAAATAATTGATGTTAATTCTAATTTAATTATATTATAACAATGTTAATTAAATACCAGTCAAACTAAAATGATTGACGAACTAAAACAACATAAGTGGTGGTTGCTAGGGGGTAGCAGCCTTAATGACAGACATTACAGAAAACGCTAGCTATTATGTGGGGAAATTTAAAAGAGACCAACATGAAATTCAGAATAATACTTTTTGACAGACAATCAGGAGGACGATTAAATTGTTAATTCTATTTGGGCTTAAATGATTTAAATTATGTCTTAAAGGCAACATAAAACCAGAGATATAAACAGGAAGAACTCGAACTGCAAAAAAGTAAGCAACAGCTATATGCATGCGGGACCGACACAACACTATAAAATATTGGAGGGGAATTCCCCAAGTCCAAATCCATTTTATTTGGTTTTTTGAGATAATACATTCCTGTAAAAATATTACCTTTGGCTCACCTCTATTTATGTCATCTGTTGTGCTAATAGGTATAGAAAAAAATCACATAAATCAGTCAAGTTGAGGTCCATTTTTCCAGCTATTTTTTTTTTTCACTGACCATCCAGAATGCTAGAACTTTGGCCTGTCCTATACTCTAACCTCATGCTAAATTCCGTGTCGATTGATTTTTAATTGCGACCTGTGTAGCGACTAAAAAATCCGGAACTTTTTCAGATTTTTGTCGGTGTCAAGCCCTAAATATTATGTGTACTTCTTCACAAGCAAGCTTACACTTTACCCCCTCTTTCGTGAGGATCGGACGATAATTTGTATATGATACTCCCAACACATAGTGCTATACTAGTGAGATTGGTTGAAGAATGCATTGAAAGAATCTAGTTAGAACCATCCAAATATTGAATATCTATGGGCAGCGTTATATGGAAATATTGACTATGTTTTTACACATGTCGTGGTTCCCATTATGATCTACAAATACCGAATTTCAAACAAATTCATTAAAATTAAAAAAAAATGCTTTAAATCGTCAATATATCCAATATCCGAAGGTATCTTTAAACGGGGGTTACTGGCAAAATACATCTCAATTCGTTCGATCCAGAATATATATGCTTTGTAGAGTCGATCGTGAGTATTTCGAGGAATGGCAAACGGAATGTCCATCCATAGAATGGTGAAGTGTATAAAAATATCGCAAAGTATCCAAAATACAAATTTTAAACAATTCTGTAATATATGTTGGCTACAATCTTCAAAATTCCAAATATCGGGAGGATAGGGGCTATAGAAAAACGTTGAGTTATATATAAAAATTGTTCTATATATACAAAAGAATGCATTACGGAATCCAAATATTCAATTTTATCTAATTCCCTTAGAAAATGTGGCTTAATTCGTCACAAATCCCAATAATGGGAGGTACAATTATATAGGGCTTTACAAAACGTCGACCTGTATAAACAATGTTCTGCTGCAGGATATAAAAAACAATACAAACTCTTAATATCGAAAAAAAATCCCTAGAAACCGAGGCTAAAATCATCAAAATACCGAATATGGAAATGTACAATTATATGGGGACTATAGGTAAACATGGGCCTATATGGGAAATATTCTGATATACGAGGTAAACCCAAATACAAACTCTCAATACAAAATTTTAAATTATTCCGTTTGAAAATGTGGCTTTAATCAAAATCAAAATTTCAAATATCGACATGTACAATTATATGGGGGATATACGGAAACTTTGACCGATATAGCTCATCTTCGAACTTGACCTGACTGCAGACAAAAGAAAACTCTGTGCAAAATGTTAACTTCCTACACATACCGTTGGGACTCTAGCGTGATTACAACAGACGGACGGATCATCTCCAAAAGTTCGCTTCTATTCTCGACCATAATCCCACCTCCATTCTAAATTTCGTGAGGATTGGAAGTTAATTGCGACTTGTAGCGCGACTTAGCTCGGCAAAATTGGGAAACCCATGCTCCTGCACATAGGATATCTCCAACACATGGGATATTCGGGTATGATTACGGAATATCTTTAAACCCAAAACATTGGATTTTTAAAATTAATTCTAAGGCTAGTCATTAGTTGTCAGAATATTCACAAGGGTTAAAAGGAAGACGAATATATGGAAGCAAATATAATCTGTTTTTGGCTGGGCAATTTTTATTATCGTTTTTAGAAAAAATATACAATTATATATTTTTTGTTTCTTTCTATTTTGAAATTCAGATAAGTGAAGGCTGGATACTAGGCCCAGAATTATGTGATATTTGGACTTCTTGTGATGTCCTTTGCTGTACAGCGTCTATACTGCATTTGGTGGCAATAGCAACAGATAGGTAAGTCATTAAATTGAATCCCAAAAAAATCAAATATTCCCATACCTAATTTAACGAATTTATATTTTTTAAGTTTCGCGCCTTTTCACCCAAATTAATTTTTAATAGCTTACACGCTCACATTTGCCATCGAATAGGGGCAGAACCCATCTTAAGTTCACATTCGACGGTAACCTTGTTAATATTTTTACCTGATGCATTGAAATTAATTGAATGAGAAAAAACTTGCTACACAAGAACTCATTACCAGCTACACATGTCCCTCTTATTATATATTAATAAAATAAAGAGTATTATACGTTATTTTTACGACAAGTGACTGTAAAGCTTGAATAGCGATTATTGACCTCTACGAGAACGAGTACACATTTTATGAAGAAAATAATGATAATAAAAAGACTACAGATGCTTTAGATACTTACATTTAAATTTTCAATAAGACTGACGCACAAACACAAGCAATGGATTACAACAAGCTACTTCTGAAACGAATGCAGAACTTAGGTACATTTTAAAAAGGTTCAATCATTTGAGAAATACAATTATTTTGGAATTTATTCAAAGTGCAACCCAAAAAAAAATTAAATTTATTAGCATGTATGTTATACCCATTATTGATCAGAATAATATCCACAAAATAATTAGTATGTACATTAAATATAGTACTCGTAAGCGATTTTTTATGAAATTAAAATTTATTTGTTCAATCATTTCATGTTCATATACACGCCCAAAGAACATAATTACTTTCATTCTTTAATAGAAAATCGCAGTCGAAGTAAAAACAAGTAACCGAAACGATAAATTTTCATTAAAAACATTTTGCGTCTTAAATATATACACAACGCTCTTCAACGATATTTTTGCCCAGCAAAATATTTAATATGTGTTATGCTAACACTCCCAGCAAAAGTGCTCATTACGAAATTATGACTTTACTAAACAATTTTGGAAATCTTAACTGCTTACAAATCAACCTACTAACCCATTATTATTTCCAGAAATAATTCGTTATTATTTGGATAGAAAAAGTCGCCAAATCAGCAGAAACAAGTAAAATGGATTTATATACCCTCCACCACTATGTCCATTAAAATAAAATGAAATAATGACAAGAGTAGAATATGTTATCTTAGTATATAAATCCATTTTAATTCACATAAAAAATAACCCAAATATCGGAAACCATATTATAGTAGATAGTAGACCTGAATCGAATATTTTGCCAGAAGAAAACAGACCTACCGAAAACGCCAGTTGTCAAGTTTCATCTAATTTGGTTCAAAATACTGAAAATCGGGAGTTACCGTTATATGGAGGTTATACCAATTAGTGGACCTGAATCGAACATTTTTGTAAGCTCTCCTTGCATATGAGTTATGGGCGCTATACCAAAACGTGGACCAATATAGTCCATTTTCAATACCAATCGGCCTGCATATAATATAAACCTTTCTTCCCAGTTTCGAAGCTCTAGACTATATCCTGATTTCAACAGACAGACGGACATCTTTAAATTGCCTTTTATTTTGATATATTGCTAACGGAAAGACAAAATTAATATACAATCCATGGTATGGTGAGGATATACAAAGTATGCTTATTTACCCTCCACCATATTATGGAGAGTATGTTAAGTTTTTCATTACGTTTGTAACTTTTGAAATATTAGTACCCAAAAAGTGAATATATTCTTGGTCAGTGTAAATTATTTTATTAATCTGTCTGGCTGTTGTAATCACATCATCACCGGACGAACTGCGATAGACAGCTACAATTTGCACATATAGGCACGTTCGTAAAACAATATGTTTGTCCACATTTTCGTATGTCTCCCGTATAATTGTACCTCACGTAAGTTGACATTTTGACGATATTGGCATTTAGCCACATTTACTAAGGAAATTGTTTTTAATTCTGTAGCTAAAGTCTGTTAAGGGTTATACTTCTCATGGCTGATTATTGCCTATATAGGTTTACATACATAATGGTAACGCCTGATTTTCGGTATTATAATGATTTATGATTAAAGCCACATATTCTAAGGAAATTGTTTAACATTCCGTAATGGGTTCTTCTTTCTGTGGCAGATAATTTCCTACATAGCCTCACGTTTTCCTACGCCCCCATATACAGGGCGAAAAGTAAAGAAGCGACTTGATCGAAACCCGGGTTGCAGTGGCCGAAAAATGCTGAACATATCGCAATATTCCATTCGCCAAATATTTTCAAAAATGAGCTCGGACTAAAGCCATTGAAATTCCAAAAAGTGCAAGAACTCACCCCGCAACAGAAAGAAAATAGACTCAAAAGAGCTAAAGAGTTACTTCGCTTGGCCGAAAGTGGTGAACTGCCGAATTTGGTTTTCTCCGATGAGAAAACTTTCGTTGTCCACCAGTTTGTCAACAAACAAAATGATCGTTTTTACTTGCCAAAGATATATATATATATATTAAATTTAAAACAGTTCAGTTTAGGTAAAACGAATGAAGCTGAAATTTTTAAATTTTATATTGAGGTCTCTGTTGGTGGTAGATTTGTATGAGAGAGGTGGTAGATTTGTAAATTGGATAATAAGGTCACTTTGGCAAACTTTTTAATATATGTTGCTAAATTGATACTGGATGAAGGGATAGAACTGAAATCTCGAATTTTGATATGGATGTCACTGGTGGTGTCAGTAGTTTAGAGATGGAAGTGGTTTTTTAAATTCGTACTTTGAACCTACTAAAAAGTGCAAAGTTCCATAAAATATGCCGTTGGATTTTGGGATAGTGATGGCATACTGACATTTGGTTATCGTTGGTGTCTATGGTGTAGAGAAGGAGGTGTTTTTGGACATGTGTTGTATAACTGTGTGAAAAGTTTGGAAATAAATTTGGGATTGGGTTTTAGGAAATTGCGCATTTAAAGAGTCTTAAGTGTCAAATCGAATGAAACGTTTATTTGAGAGTTAAATTTCGGTTTAATGCGCCAGCATTTATCTTATTTGGTCTGCATTATAAATTTGGCACACAGTAAACTTAAAATCGGACAGAGATACATAATGGAGCCATATCGAAGTCTGAGCCGATTATCAACAATTTTGATAGAATTTGACTTTGGGCCAAATAAATGAAGGCGCACAATATATGCGACATAAGCTTTTTTCGAGGGAGAGGTGGACAATTGTCCAAAATTGTCGAGAGAGACACTACCACTCTCTTAGCACTACAATAACATTGTGACAGTTATGGTTACCCAAAATTTTGCTGGGTATTGTCTACTGCTACTAACTGTATCGATTTTTCATTCAACGCTTTTTTTTTTGGTTTGTTTTGCTCACGATTCACTTGAATTGGGTTTTCACTTTCGGAAGGAAAGTGCTGGTGGCAGTCAGTATGCAATCGTTTCGGTTTCAGTTATGGGTACTTCCCGTCTTCGTTTTGGCTCTCCATGACTGTGCATGTCCGTGTGAACAGGTTTATGTGCAAGAATTACACAGTGTACGGATGAGTATTGTTTTCCACTAGAATATCCATATGTGCATACACACATATATGGATTTGAGTGCAGCAGTGAGCATGTATGTGTGTGTTTGTGTCTGGATCAGCGATATGACCTTAATATGTATTCTCAACTATGGGGTTTCACTTTTATACCCTACGCCATCACATTGGGTATGAAAGGCATGGCCATATTAGTTCTGGATTCATTTTTATTACACCGATTAAACTTGACCTCATACATAGTAGAAATAACATTTGATGCTGGAACCGTTTACTTGAGCTATAGATATAGGGCATTCAAAAAAAAATAAATAAAAAAAAAAAATAATAATAATAATAATAATAATAATAATAATAATAATAATAATAATAATAATAATAATAATAATAATAATAATAATAATAATAATAATAATAATAATAATAATAATAATAATAATAATAATAATAATAATAATAATAATAATAATAATAATAATATAATAATAATAATAATAATAACAATAATAATAATAATAATAATAATAATAATAATAATAATAATAATAAGAATGCCTGTATTTAGTTTCATAATCCTTCCTTCGAAAATTCGACTCCATTTAAGATTTAACGGCAAATTGCATATGCCCTGTAGATTTTTTGGTATTTTTGCTATACGATAGGGTACAGAATGTTTAAATCATTTTTCCTTTCTCTCTTATTGGGATTCAACTCAAACCAATACTCAAAAATGTAACATCAATGCTAAGCTTCGTCGCAGGACTCAAACTAGTATTTCATGTTGAGTTCAGTTCGGTTGTGTGTGCGCGGCTTCGTATTCGTGTGCAATAACCTTTGCCTTTTTTGTAGTCGTTGTTGCTATCTTCGTTGTTGTTGCATTTCACTGTTTTCTGTAACAATGTACATTGTAACAAGTTAAATAACCGTAAGCATAATTTATACAAAGAGAGTAACTGTTTTTTATTACCAACGATACCACATTGGTATGTGCCGGGTATACAGGTGTGTGAGTGTGTTGTTTCGCCAGCACACGTACAATCTTCTTATGTATTCATATATGTGTGTGTGTTCAAGAAGACCCACAGAAGCTGTAGTGCTACCGCAACATCTGAGAATTTTTGTTTTAGTTTTAGCTCCCGTTTAATGTCAGAATTTTGATTCACGAATGTGCGTTGGAATGATGCTGGTTTCAATGTGTTGTAACATTCAATTTTGACATTCACCGCCACTGTATTTTCGTTTACAATTTCATGGATTGGGGCGTACATCGACTTCGACAAGTTTAAATTTAGAACTTTTCCATTAAAATGTTCTCAAGTTTATAGCTTTAAAAATATTATGTATTGAACAATTTACAAGTACATATAGTGTGATGTTAATTATTCATCACATATGCTAAACATAGCAATTCATCATATACTAGAACTTTTGTACACAACATACACATTTAACCATTATTTTTGATTGAGTTTTAATGTGTATTAAAAATAATATGTATTTCAGATAGACAAA